TTAAAAGGGTTGCAAATCGACTTAGAAGAGACCCGGTATAAAATCAGTTTCTCTGATACTTATTCCAGTTTATGTCAGTTCTGCTCCCAACCCCAGGCTCTCTCTATCTCTCTCCACACATGCATGTGTATGTGTGCCTTCCATGCACAGCCGTGCTTTAGGAATAATTCCAACTAATTTTCGTTTATTCCAATAAGTTCTGTACTTAAAGATTTTATGTTGATTTTTAGTGGCTCCCACCTTTTTACAGTATTACACAGATCCAGTCAGTGGATATGTATTCCGCTCCAAAAATGCTGTTATGCATTATTTAGAGACTGGAGAGATAAGCAGACATGCTTTTAAACCCAAGAATAAGTGCACCAATGAGCTGACGTTGATTAATGATGAAAGTCACGAAATTACAGTAAGTGCAAGTTCATGCTTCTTATTTTTCGTCATCAATGCTCTCTTGGGTTTGTATATGATCGTTTGCTAGTACAATTACCAACAATTTTTCTTTAATGGGTTTCTTGATGATTTCAGTTTGGAAATCGTACCATGTAAAAATTCAGAATAAGTATTGGCGTATCCCTTAAAAATTGTAGTATTTTAACCCATGGTTTCTTGAATGACAATTGACCATGCCACATAAGCTGTGATGTATAACTAGCATGGGAAAAAACATAATGAAGTTTCAAGTGATATTATTTATATCACTCTATTTTGAAACATTTTGAAAACTTGACTGAAATATGTTCCAAACTAAAGCAGAGAGGACTTAGTGAAATTTGGGCTAACTAATGTGTTCTATGTATTGCTCTGATACTTTTTAGTTGCATAGCATAGTGGTGCTGAATTCATAAACAAATTGCATCTGTCAGTCCCAGAAATAATTACAGCTCTTGCACTTATGTAGCAGTGAAAACTTTCTTGCATTGTGGGGTTTCCATTTTCAATGTTGTTATTGTTTTTCTTGATTTTTCTCAGAACATAGTTTGTGCTTTGGCTTGCATTCTTCAATGTTTTTTCTGTTGAAACATTCTTCAATGTTTTTAGTACTCCCCATTTTAACAAATGGTAGAATTTCCCCATCTGTAAATAAAGCTGATGGATTACCTTTCACTCTCTTTTTTTCCTCTTCTGTTTCCCATCTCTAGAAGGGATAAAAGGTATTCAGTAATTTTTCTTTAATGAATACAAATATGAA